ACAGCAAGAAGTCTCGAGTGGCATTGTTGGAGGTGAAGAAGCCATGCACAGCCTTGTAGAGAACATAGTGGTTGAGGCGGCGTGAAGTGGAAGGCAGCATCCGCAGGGCCCGCAGCACAAATCTTGGCTCCTTGCCTGAGACAGCTTTCTCCAGCTGTTTCACATGCTCCTTGATGTCTGAGGACCAAGAAGAAAAAGACAGGGTTGCTTCCCACTCCTATCCGTCCCTCACCACTTCTGGCCAGTGGTTCTATGGGAGACTCATTGCTAGGTTCAGTGGCAAAGGCCTGTAATCTCAGGACTCTGGAGGCTGAGGCAGGAGGATCCTGAGAGTTTGAGCCCAGCCTGGGCTACACAGGGAGATCCCATCTCAAAAGAAAAAAAAAAGGGCAGGGCACAATATACAGTCACGTTAAGCGATATTTATGGATTCTGTACACTAGCTTTTCAGATATAACCAAGAGACAAGGGAAAATGTATGTGTGTGTGAATACACATACACACACACACACACACACACAAACATACACACGGTAATGCATCTTTGCCACTATCATGTTATTTTAGGTAACAGGACCATAATATTGCTTCTGTTGTCCAACTTTGGGATAAGAGCTCTGTAGTCAATGGTATCACATTCTCAAAGCTCCACCCAGGAGCATAACTTTGCTTATCTCAATATCTTGGGGTGGCTTCTCAAGCAGTTCAGAGTAAGCCCACTAAGCATTCTGGTCGCACTTGATCGAGACCCCAGAAAACAGCACCAGGCTCACAGTGGGAAGCTTTCACCCTGCCCACTCCAAGTGCAGACAAGCAGCTCTAAGTGGGAAAAATAAAATCAAGAGGAACAAGAGGACCTGCAAACAGGACTGGCACCTAGCAGACAGGGGCTGGGTCCAGCCGGGCGCAGGTACATGGAGCAGGTCGGAGGGGAGGACTCTGAAGAGGGAGCGCCCGGGCCCAGCGAGCCCAAGATCCAACCCCGGCCAGGGCGGGCGGAGACTGGCTTCAGTCATCGGGGTTGAGGTCGGGTGTCGGGCTAAAGGGGCAAACACTTACGACCCAGTCCCAGGGACTGAGCCCGAGGAACGCGGTCGGGGCGGCCGCACTGCGTCCCAGGAGAAGCCGCCTCCCCGGGGTCGCTGTCACCCGCAATCGGGGCGCGCTTCTGACGCGAGCTCCCGTACCCTCCAAGGTGACGGTGTCCAGCTCCCGCTGGGAGTGCTCCGCCGTCCTAGCCGCCTTTCCGTCCGCCTCCCCGGGGGCTCCGCCGCCGGCCGCCGCCTCCTCCTTCATCTCCACATCCTGGGGGCCCGGGGGCGGGGGCGGTTCGGGTTCCCCTCCGCCGGGCGGCGGCTTCGCCTTGTCCGTGCCGCGGCGCCGCGCCGAGCCCTCCTGCTTCATGGTGCTCGGAGTCGCGGCCTAGTCCGCGGACCGAGGCCGGGGCCTCGCGTGAAGCCTCGCACCGAGGACCAGAAACCGAGCCAGGCCTGCAGACTAGCGCGGGCTCGCGGCGGGCCGCACGATGACGGAGCAGCTGCAAAACTCCTTCCCGGCGCGGGGCCTTCTGGGAAACGCCAGGCCCGGCGGGCCGCCGGCCGAGTCCAAAAGGGGAAAGAAATCAACAGCCGAGCTGCAGGGTGGAGGCGGATCTTCGAGCTGGGAGGAGTCTGAGAGCACCAGTGGGGCTTTCTTTGAAGCGCTTAAAGTGTAGCGCTTTCCTTTTGTCTTTCTCTTGGGTACATTTCTGTGAATGTCCACGAGAGTTCCCTTCAGGCTCCAACCTGGGCTACTACGGAATCTAAGAGCACCCCAATGGGTTTGGAGTGGTGGGACCTATCCGATGGCGGAGAGGGTTGACGTCATGAGTTGCCGGGCAGCTTTTGCACCCACATTCACCCAATTTGCCCCCGACTGGGTCCCCTTGAGATCCACCTGGCTCGTGCACAACGGGAGCCCGGGGCACCCAGCGCGAGGGAAAAAAACGGCTGAGGAGGAAGGACCGGGAGCCAGGCTGTTGGGTTTAGAATAAGCGGAACTGGAAAGTAGGAAGAATGCCATGGAATCCATCCAGACTTTCGAAGTTGTTAGATTTTAGTTTAGCACTGTGAATAAGGCATGATATCTGTGTCCTGGGAACATGGATGGGGAAGAGAGCGTTTGTATACAGTCACTGCAGTTTAATTAAAACAAAGGCTGGGCATGGTGGTGTACACCTGTCATTCCAGCAGTCAGGAGGCGGAGGCAGGAGGATTGCAGGGAGTTCGAGGCCAGCCTGAGGTACATAGTGGAGTTCAAGGCTAGCCTGGCCTAAGTAATGAGAGCCTGCCTCAAAAAACCAAAGTAAAATGCTGGGGATTTAGCTCAGTGGTTCTGCTGCCTGCCTTGCAAGCAGGTACCGGGGTTTGATCCCTGGTACCACAAGAAAACCAAAATAAAATAAAATAAATAAAACCAGGGGTTCTATGGCCAAGGGCTAGCTAGCACTTGGCAAAGGTAGAGATGCCCCATAACTCAGCAACGGTATAGGTAAGGGGATATTGTGCCCTGGGCTGCGGTGTAGTGGGAGGGCACAGGAAAGAGAGTGGAAGCTCCTACTAGAGAGGCTGCTGGGAGTCCGCTGAGGGAATCTATACATCCAGACCAACACTTAAAAATGGGGAGCAGGGTAATGATGACCGTGTAGTCTACGTAAGGGACAGGAAGTTGAACCAGAAACTCCGCCTGCTCAATTTGCAAAGAACTTCCCCAAGCTGGGCAGAGTAACTGGGCCTGGAATCTCAGCAGTCTGGGAGGCTGAGGCAGGATTGCAAGTTTGAGTCCAGCCTGGGCAACTTGGCACGATCACGTCTTCAAAAACAAACAGCTGGGGATTTAGCTCAGTGGCACTGCACCTGCCTCACAAACTAAAGGTTCTGAGTTTGATCCCTGTACCAAATAAACAAAAAACCAAAAAACAAGGACTGGGAAGGTCCTGGGTTCAATCCTCAGTACAAAAAAACAAAGAAACCAACTTCCCAGTGATTCCCCAGGGTAGGTAAAGAAGTTTCTTAAGACACAAAACAAAAAATTCACTGTCTGGGAAACTTGATCTCTTCCATAAATGAAAGTCCTGAGATTTTAGACCCTGGGGGAATGGTCAATGCCCCACTGCAAGGACTGAAAGGGCAGAAAATATCTTTTGACACATTCTCCTTTGTAATATATAAGCTATACACATATGATATTCCACATGTCTTTATACCCTTTTTTTTTCTGGTACTGGGAATCGTACTCAGGACTTTGTGCTTGCTTGTGCGTGGTACCACTGAGCTAAATCCCCGGCCCAATAACCTTCTTTATGTACTATTGGTGCAAATGATCCCCTGCATTAAGCAGCCACTTGCCAAATGGAAAACATGCGCTCTAGCCTTGGGAAAGGCACCTTGCCCAAATCCTCCCTTACTGTTCTCACCCACCTGGCTGGGTGGCTGACAGGCCTTTCGACTCATCTGGGGAATAAACTTGAGGTATCTTCTCCACAATGCCATGTCTGCAGCCAGAGGTGAGGGCGAGTGGTAAAGGCAGAAAGGAGGAGCTTTGTTTGTACTTAACAATGGAGAGTCACCGGTCTGGATGGTTAGGGTATTAGCTCATCTATCTATTAAGCTTACTTCAGAGAGGCAAATGAGCCAGTCAGCAGAGCAGCCCAGTGGGTCATGAGCAACGCAGGAGGCTTTGGAAGGAGCCAGGAGGGGGAGGCTGACCTAGCCCAAAGCCTTTGGCAGTGGGTCATGAATTCTTGGGTAGTGAGCCCAGGCTGGGGGTGGCTCAGGAGGCACAAGAGACTGAAGCCTGGAGCCAAAAGCCTTGGAGAAATTTTTCCACCTATAAAACCACTTTAAAAGCAATGGGTGAAAGGTGTTTAAACCGAGCTCTAGGCAGAGGAGTGTGATATAAACCCAGTCATTTGATGAGATTTGGAACACACATATTAGCAGGTCCACAGGGCAAGCCAACCCACACTACGTTTTCCCATAATCTTCCCGAATTGAGGGTAGAAGATAGAGAAGTGAAAGAAGATAATATTATAATTTTTAAAAAAAGTTTTGGAGTCAGGCATGGTGGCACACACGTGTGATCCCAGCACTCGGGAGGCTGAGGCAGGAAGATGGCTGGGAGTTCGGGGCCAGCCTGGGCTACATAGTAAGACCCTGTCTCCAAAAAAAAAAAAAAAAAGAAAAGAAAAACTGGGGAGGGGGGTAATCTGATTCTTAGATCCCATTTAAAAAAAAGACTTACCTGTATTTTATTTGCATTTTATATCAACAGACTTGAAAGTAGTCTTCTTTTTGTTTTGACTGTACCCTGTATCTCTGTCTAGATCTTTCCCTCCCCAACCCTTCAGCCTGGGGGGTGAAGATGCCAAAGGCTCTGAAGACAGCAGCTTTTTGGGGTGTGGGGGGGGGTACTGGGGATTGAACTCGAGACTTTCACTTGCCAGGCAGGTGGATGAACCACTGAGCTAAATCCCATGCGCCCAGGACAGCAGCTTTGATGATCTTCCCACTTCAGAATCTGATTCCAGATCCTATACCCAGTGGTTCCTGAGCATTTTCTAGCTTGTCTGAGGGCAGAATAGAGTAGTATACTGTTCAGATGATCTATAGGTTCTGAGAGGGCATTTATTTCTTTTTCTGGCCCAAGTAAGAATTTCCATATGATAAATTCTTTTTTTTTTTTTTTGGTACTGGGGATTGAACTCGGGTCCTTGCACTTTCGAGGCAGGTGCTGGAACCACTGAGCTAAATCCCTGGCCCAATAAATTCTTTGAAGAAATTCACCAAACGCCATGTCATCCTAAGATTGACACAGAGGGGCTGGGGATGTAGCTCAGTGGCCCTGCGCCTGCCTGGCAAGTGCAAGGTCCTGAGTTCCATCCCTGGTACTGGATTAAAAAAAAAAGATTGACAGAATATTTTCCATTCATTCCTCTAATGCTTACTTTTTATTTATTTTATTTTTTTATATATTTTTGTGGTACTGGGGATTGAATTCAGGACTTTGCACTTGTGAGACAGGCACAGCATCACTGACTGAGCTAAATCCCCAGCCCTGATGCTTGATTTTTAGAAGTACAAGTGAGAAGGATTAGGATAGAAAATTAATTTGTCTCTCTTTTTCCCCCAGTTTTGCCAAAATAGCTCATAATTTAAAGGCCGAGTGCTTCTACTTCTGCAGGATTTCACAGCAGCCCATGAGCTCACAGGGCTGGGCGCAGAGGGCGGGGAGACAAAGGCTAGGGGAGTAGCAGTTGGTTATTGTAGGTGACGAGCTAGGATTTTGTGGTCTTCAGCCTGGTGGCTCTGAAAGGCCCTGGAGTGCTAAGGTCCCAGCTTGCGGGAAGCCGGGAGCAGACAGGAAAGGGACACTAGGGGGACCCGGCCAGGAGCTGGAGGAGGGAGAGGCCGGCGTAAAGGGCACAGAGTCGGGGCAGGGTGTCCGGGTCCCACATGTACTGCGGGCTGGATCTCTGCACTTCCAGGCCACTGAGCCCCACGAGGGCTTCCGTGAGGGTCAGTTCTTCTTCCCTGAGGGAAGAGAGCAGCTCGGGGCGCAGGGGGAAAACACCCTCTTTCTCCTGCAGGAAATTCTGCTCCAGCGTGCTTTCCACCTGCGAGGAACCAGGGCAGCATGAAAAGAAAGAAAGGAGAGTCGCTCTTCTTTCCTGAGGCATACAGGTCACAAAGCAATCTAGCCCCCCCCCACCCCGTGGCTCCTTGCTGACGTTCAACAGCCCCACACGGTGAGCTATTGAGCCATCCATCCATCCACCCACCCATCCATCCATCCATCCATCCTCTAGTCTTGCTGCACAGTTTAGCTGGCCTTGAACTCACTATGTAGGCCAAGCTGGCCTTGAACTTGCAGTGATCCTCCTGCCTCAGCCTCCCAAGTGTTGGAATTACAGGTGAGTACATTTGTTTTTAACCCTATTTTACAGGGGGAATAAATCAAGGCAGACTCAGAGACATAAGGAATTAGCAAAGCTAGAGTTTTCTGTCTCCTATCTCAAGAGCAAGCTGATAAACCCGGATTAGGGCCAGAAATCCTTGTCCCCCCTGTTGTGAAATAATGCAAAGGAAGAAATGTGGAAAGGAGAGGAGGCCTGAGCTCCTGGGGACGCCGCAGAGGGCTCTGGGACAGTGGCCGCCAGGCCACACTGGGTCTTCCATGGTCCTAGCTGTTCCCTCCCCAACTCTCCCGGGATTTGCTGTTCTTTCTCACCAGCTTCAGTTGCACCGGGAGGATCTTTTTCTCCATGGATTTTGCCAGAAGCTTCTGTTGGGCTTCACTTAGCACTGCAGACAGAAAGCAGAGAAAGACACGGGTGTTGCTAGTGCGGAGGGGACTCCAGACTCCAGGGGGCGCACTTCCGGCTCCAGCACGCATGGATGGTGCACCCGTTCCTCCCTTGTGAGTTCGTTCACGCGTGGCTGGAAGCCCGCTCTCCAGGGGACCCTGTGTTCCCTTCGCTAACGCTGACGGAACTTGCAGTCTTGGGGAGAAGAGGGCGGCGTGGAATCTCAGCACGGGCAGTTGAGCCAGCTCCAGCTGGGGTGCGCTCTGGTCCTGGCCTTGGAGCGCAGCCTTCCCTGGGGAACCAACGCCTCAGCATTCGCGCTAAGCGCTGGGCTCCGTCTACGTAGAGCAGGAGCTCGGCCACCCGCGGAAGGTTGAAGACGCGCAGACGCGTCGAGGGTTCTTTCCCAACCGTTTACCGAGGTTGGCTTCTCAGGTCACCCCAACGTGACTAACCGAATCCTTATTAGGAGTAGAACCCGTTTTACTTTTAATTGTTTTGTTTGTTTTTTGAGACCAAGGTCTTGCTATGGAGTCCAGGTTGGCCTCGAACTTGTGGCGATCCTCCTGCCTCAGCCTCCAGAGTGCTGCGATTACAGATGTGCTCCACCACGCCCGGCTTTACTATAAACTTCTTCATTGTAGTAGAATTGATCTGGCATTCACCCATTCATCCACCTGGGAATTCACTCAGGTGATCCATTCCTCTCACTGGAGAAGTACAGACCGAATAGCTTTACTCCACTGACCTGTTAGGGCTCCAAGAAAATAGAGGATGGCTCCCATAGACTCCTTTGACAGCAGGACATCCTTCGGGAGTGCTTCCAGTGTCACTTCATGTCCCTTGTCTAGGGCCCCTTCAAGCTGTGGGGAAAGGTGGTTATTGAAAACACCATGGGTGGCTGGGGATTTAGCTCAGTGGTTTCGCCACCTGCTGCGCAAGCGCAAGGACCCGAGTTCGATCCCTGGTACCAAAAAAAAAAAAAGCATAATTGATGGGATTATGAAAATTAAAGTGAGAGTAAAAGTGAAATAACATGTCTGTAGGAACCACAGAAAGCCTGCCACACTGTAAGAACTCAGTCAATGA